AGTGAGATAACCCAGGCCCAGAAACTCAGTGGATCCTAGTTTTGAATTTTCAGATTTATGTATTTAACTTAGAATAGTGGTAGTAGAATCACAGAAGCCAGAAAGAAAAGCACCATTGGTGTAGGGGATGCCTAAAAGAGGAGGGAGGGTAGAACACAGGGAATATGAAAACAGAGAAGAGATACTGAGGTAGAAATGTTTGGGTAGTATGAGGTATGAGGGTGGGGGAGACAAGAGGATGGCGTTGGGGTTAACCAAAACAAAGGCTGTATGAAAAAAAAAACATATGGAAACCTATTATCTTGTAGGTCAATTAAAAAGTATAAATCTTAAAAAACGAACAAACCAGAGTTTGGGGATATCCTGTATGGCTGGATAAGGCTGTTCTTAGAAACCATGGGCCATTAAAAAAAAAAAACAAAAACCCACTGCCAGGTACAGGTATAGGATACCTTTTCTGCATTGTTCAAAAAGGAGGCTCCAGATTTACCCCACAAATAATACATGTCCTTGTCATTCCTCTTGGTTGTCCCCCGAAACAAGACAATGAGAGCCTGTTGCTTGAAGACACCACACATTCCGGTGAGTAACCAAACTGAAGGCTTCCTTCCTGCAGGCTAGCTTTCACAGTGCTGGATGTATTGTGCAGGCTGCTCTCCAGGCCCCCAATCGCTGTTTGAGATAGATGCTGACATTGTCTGTCTCATGGTAGAGGTGAGGAAGCAGACATGTTAAATAACCCCAAGAACCCTGCCTGAGTTCACAGCTGAGTTACAAAAGCCACAATGTATTGCTTCCCAAATACAACATGACAAAACTGTCCTGTGTTCTGCCACCATGTAATAGGAAAGACTTAAGGAAATACTGAGTTGATAGGCAAAGGATAAGTGCTGGCTCATTTGGTAGTAAGGTTGTAAAAGACAAGTATTAGACCTGCAAACAATGAATTGAAAAAAGAGTTATGTCCAGCCAAGGTCAGGAAGTAAGGTATGAGGACACTATGGCATGAAGGATCTGGAGGTAAGAGTTTATGCAGGTCCTTGTGGGCTAGCATGGGCATGATACAAGCCATGGCTTATCAAGCTGCCGTAAGACCAGGCACCTCCCCCTGTATTCAGGGTGGGCAAGGCACTACAGCATGAGGAATAGGTTCCCAAGAGCCAGCCTGCCATGCTTTGCTGATGCTTATGGGAGGTCTGCTCCTTTCTGAGCAAATACAGGGGTTGGGGGTGGGGAGTAGGTCAGAGGGGAGGAAAGGGAGGGAGTTGTAGAAGAGGAGAAAGGGCAGGTTTCAATTAGGATGTAAAACAAATTAATAAAAAATAAAAAAAAGCATCAAAAGCCATAGAGGCCTGGGGGAAGGGGAAGAAGCACAGACAAGAACAGAGTGTAACCATATACTATGAAACCTAGTACTTTGTGTGCTAACTCAAATTTATTAAGAATGAAAGACAGGGCTGGAGAGATGGCTCAGAGGTTAAGAGCTGGCTACTCTTCTAGAGGACCTGAGTTCAATTCCCAGCAACTACCTGGTGGCTCACAACCATCTAGAATGAGATCTGGTGCCCTCTTCTGGCCTGCAGGCAGAACAGTATACATAATAAACAAATACCTATATATATGGAATGGAAGACAGGGAATTGAAAAATATATTAGCCACAGCCATGGCTGTACAGTTTCTGAAATTGTGGAATAATTTGGGTGACAAGTATACTGTACCTCTGTCCTTATTTATCCTATGGTGGTCTCTTCCCAATACTCAGGTTTACTTTGAGTTGTGAGTGTGAGGTTTTCATTAATATCTTTTCCTTCCCAATCAATCCAATCTAGTAAAACAATGCTTAAAACTGCAACTTTCAAGTAATTTTAACAGTTTTGAAAATTTTGTGTTCTATTGTTTGGCCTGCAGTACCTGTAGTGGTCAAAAGAGGGCATCAGATTCCCCTGGAACTGGATTTACAGATGTTTGTGAGCCACCATGTGGGTGCTAAAAAGTGAACACAGATCTTTGGGAAGAGTAGCCAGTGCTCTTAACTTCAGAGTCACTCTGCCAAAGACCTGCTTTTCAGGGGTTCAGGTCCCAAAGAGGATGTGTGGAGTCAGTGGGTGGGGGCTGAGGAGAAGGAACAGAGGGACACAATCTGAGGGTGAATCAGATGGCTGCCAGCAGCCTTTAATTGAAAAAATTCTCCACCTTTATTGCACATAGAATTAAATGGGAGAAAGGGGGCATGCAAACTGGGGTGTGACTTGAGATCAGGGATCCTGGAAGCTAGCTTTGACCTTCACAGTAGACACCAATCACAAGTTCCTCTTGCTAGAGACAAGAATGGCAGCTTTACAAGCAGGAACTTTCCTCAAGTCCCTGGGGAATGGAGACCCTTATCCAAATGCCTGACCTTGGGAAAGGACTTCTTCTGGGGAGCAGACACCATACTACAGTTTCCTAGTCTTACTATATGGGTCTTTTCTCCTCATGCACTCCCAAAAGGGCAGGCCCTGACGTCATACTCCTTTCTGTTATTCCATACCATTTTGGTTTCTCTGTATTTATTAACTGAACTCTTGTCCTTAATGGCCCCAGGCTCTGGATCTGAATTGTAGGACCAGGTGTGTCTAGTAAATCTCTAACTTTCCTGTTCTTTGTGTAATTAGGAAGACACTATAGGACTCCTGGTTCTACAGTGGTGGGGACTTATTTCCAAACAAATATTTTGTTTAGAGTGGCTACCATTGTACACATTTTTACCCTTTACCAAAGCCTTCACAAAATTTCCCAGAGGGAACGGCATTGAGAATCATTAGAAACGAAGGTAAAAAGGTGTTGCAGACGTGTGGTCTGCAATGTTGAAATGCTGAACGACATCAAGCAGCAACGGTCGCCATGTGGTTCATGACATCATTCATTTCTCCCGCCCTGGAACTGTAGCTTAAGAAAAAATTGAGGGCACCATGAGCCATGACTGCAACCCCAGATTCAGGCGACAGAGACAGCAGGACTAAGAGTGCACACTCATGCTCAGATACATAGTGAGCTTGTGGGCAGCTGAAACCCTGTTTCAAAAACATAGTCATTTAATGTTTGTCGACCACACACACTGAGTGATATAAATTCAGTCTTGGTATTTGCTGAGCATTTTTTAAAATTTTAGTACTGGACAATGAAGCTACAAGGATAAAAGGAATTTCCTAATACATAAGATGCTAGAATTTTCCTGGGGGCACAGACATGTAAATATAGATCTTTTTTAAAAAAAAGGTTTATTATGTATACAGTATTCTGCCAGCATGTATTCCTACATGCCAGAAGAAGACACCAGATCTCTGTATAGATGGTTGTGAGTCCCCATACAGTTGCTGGGAATTGAACTCAATACCTCTGGAAGAGCATCCAGTGTTCTTAATCTCTGAGCCATCTCTCCAGTTCCCTGAACAGATGTCTAAAATGCAGTGTAGAGAATACTTAACAAATAGTTCATAGGATTAAAGCAACATTGGCATTATGGTGGTCAGCCTGTTTAAAATTGATTTTTAATCATGCATGTGTCTGTGTACATGAGTGCAGTGCCTGCCAAGGCCAGAAGAGGGCATGAAATCCCGGGGAACTGGTATTACAGGTGGCTGTAAGCCACTGACCTGGGTGATGGGAATCGAACCTGGGTCTTCTGTAAGTACAAGTGCTCTTAACTACAAGGCCTACAATGGTTAATCTTGGTTGCCAACTTGAGAGGGTTTAATCAACTAACAGTGGCTCTCAACCCCACTGGGGAAGTCACATATCAGATACCTACACTACAATTCATAACAGTAGCAAAAATGCAGTTATGAAGAAGTAACAAACTAATTTTATGATGGGGAGGGTCACCACAACACGAGGAACTGTATTAAAGGGTCGACACATTAGGAAGGTTGAGAACCACTGACCAGGAGACATAGCTGGGCGTATCTGTGAGGTCAAAGCCACAGTTTTAATTAAAAATTATGTACCCCGAATTGGGGAGCCACCATCTCACGGGCTCCAGTCCCAGACGAAAGACCAAGGTGAAAGCAAGAGGAGCGACGGCGTTCCTCTCTCTGTGCTCCTGCCTGCAGAACCAAAGTGACCAGCTGTCTCATTGTTTCCCAAAAGAGGCCTACTCGAGCCTTGTCCTCCACGCTGTACTGTACTCTCAAGATGTGAGCCCAGGGGAATGGAAGGATGACTCAGTGGTTAAGAGCACCTGCTGCTCTCACAGAGGGCTGGCTTCCGTTTCCAGCACCCCCAGGGTGACTCACAACCATCTAACCAGATCCAGGAGATTCCCAGACTTGTGTTGGCAAATACTTCTAACCCTCGTAAAGGAGTGTGGGTACCGGGCACACATGCAGTCAAACAAAACACATTTCAAGAAATTACTAAGTTTAATGGAAAGATTTAGGGAAATGACTCACGTGCAGCATCACTGACTTAAATTGCTACACACTTACACCCATTTTATTGAAAATAGGATTTAGTCCCCGGGAGCCCCCAAATCTTTGTCATCTTCTCTGTGCGGCCACACTGACTAAATATCTCTTTTCTGCCTTCCGCTTTCAGTTGGCTTATTGAGGGTAGATGGCTGGACCCGACTTGGGACAAAGGTTATGACCTCCCTCAAATTCGATAACACCCACACCGCCCAATCCCGGGAGTCCGCCTTCCGCTGTAGTTCAGTGACCAAGCCAGCTCGCTCCTTCCTTTGGGTTCTACACACACCATGTCTTGGATCTTTGACTTACAAAGATGTAAAAGCCTCTTGTACGAGTTTTGCTTCGTCAGCAGAACTTTATGCAAATCACGCCCTAGACGGCCTGGCAAGGCCTGTGGGAAGTCTAAGCATCTGCACACTCCTATCTGAAACTGTCCACGCGAGTCCAGGCCCGCTGCACACCCTGGCGGCGCCCTTAGCCCTCGCTCCCCCGGGATCGCAAGCGTGGGAGCCCAGGCACAGAGAGACTCCCTACCTCTCCCACGCCCTCTTTCCTTCCTGGCCGGACGGACGCACTTCCGGCGGATACGGGTGGGTCGGTCCCGGAAACGGAAGTGAGCAGCTTGGCCGGCCGACTAGAGCGGGCTGAGAGGCTTTCGCAGAGCGGTTTCCAAGATGGTGAGTTGAACGCGAACGACCGTAATCGCGGCGGGTGTCCGTGGCGCGGGCACGTCCACGGCTGCGCGGTCCCGGCGGGTATCTGGTTCGAGGATGCGCCTGGCGGCGCGCTCCCGAAGGGTGTCCGGCGTGGGCATGACGCCGGCTGCGCGCTCTCGGGTAGTGCTGGTTCCCGCAGGACCGCGCGCTTCGGTTCCCGGGGCAACCCAGGCCTGCGTGTCCCCTCCCGGGGACGCTCGGACACCTCTGAAAGCCGAGCCTTGTGTGGGTGTTGGGATACCGCCACTCTCCCGCTCCCTCGGGTGACTGGAGCCTGCAACCCCCAAGCTGTGGCCACGACCGCGGCTTGCATTTATGCAACTCAGCCTCGTTTACAAACATCTCTCTCCCTGCGCCATGTGTTGCTCAGTAACCCTGAGGTTGCTCCCGGTTTGTCTGCATTGGTTAGTGCTGGCATTCCCTCTCTCCCCCTTCTGGCCTCTCTTCCTTTCCCACTTTCTGTTTCTCTTTGAGCAGAACTCCTGAGTCACCATGGCACGGACCTGATACAAGCACTCCTTGCAGCCCGTCTGCCCACATCCAGAAAGCTTGTGTTGGCAAATACCGCAACCATTGTAAAGGAGTATGAGAATGGTTTTAGGTCTTTGTGGACTTTGATCTCACACTGGACTAGAACGTTAAGGAGCCCTGATATTATACAGAAGGACATTGGAGTGCACAAAGAAACTTTCCTTTGTCACTTTTCAGTAAAGCAGCCCACAGGAAGAGAATGTAGGGTGGTGATGTCAGTTAGCACGGGGAAAGCTATAGTCCTATGGGGCTAGTTCTGAAAGTCACAGAGTAGGTGACAGTCTATGCCAGATTGTAGATTCTCTTCCTGACCCACCATGGCATCCTGTGAGAAGGAATAGGAAAAGTGTAGGCTCTTGATTTGCGGACTCAGGAACCTGAACTTTATTTCTCAGATGTTAACAAAACATAGAAGGGGTCTTTAGAAGCTTTGGTTGTGAGGTTGTGTTTTTTAGGGAACCCTTGCCTGCATAATTGGGAAGTTGGTAAGGCTCAAGCAAGACCCAGGGGGTGCTTATGACAGACAGACAGACACACACACACCTACAAGCTGCCAAGTAAAATACACAGATGAACTAAATTTATCAAAAAAGCTGCTTTCTTGGAATAGGTAGTTCTAGACCAGTATTAAATACTAGACTACCCACGGGCTTGCATTTTTCTGTACCTGAGGAGATGGGGTGTTACATCTAGGGTGACAGTATCAGTTCCAGAGGCTGCTTTTAACTTTTTACAGGGGGGTCAGTCTCTGTCTCTCTGTCTCTCTCTTTTTCAAGACAGGGTTTTTCTGTGTAGCTTTGGAGTCTGTAGACCAGGCTGGCCTTGAACTCACAAGATCTGCCTGCCTCTGCCTCCTGAGTGCTGGGATTAAAGGCATGTGCCACCACTGTCCAGCTTTTTATGGCATTTCAATTAGTTGCATTTATTTTTACTTATAGTAACCAACTCTTCCCCCCTTTTCTTAGTTCCTATGACCTCATTTTCCTAGGTGTTATGACTTAATTCCATGTCTTTTATTTTTCATAGATTGGTGTTCCATCCTCATCCTCAGCCTTTTCGTTGTGTTAAATCTTGCATTTCTTTGCATAAAACCTAAGGGAGGTCTCTTTCCAGTGAAGTGAATCTTATTGATCTTACCATAAACCTTCCAAGACTTGTCAATTTTAGGGCAAATTTATATATATATATATATATATATATATATATGTCCATCTTTGAATTTTGCCACTTCATTAATATGTTAGTCGGTCTCAGACTGGTTGTAGTTTGCTTTTATATATCTTCTTTTTTTTTTAATAAAATGCTTTCTCTGCAGACACATTCAGAAGTCAAGAGGCATCCAGTCCTTCTTCCCCAGTGTGGTATCACTCACTAAACTTTGTGTGCTGGCTGCCACAGTACTTGGGCTCTGTAGATCAGGGCTCCTTGAGGGCACAGCCCCTGTCTTCTGTCTCCTTAACTGCCTTGCTGACTTTGTGTTGTAGAATGCCAGAGGCCTTGGGTCGCAGCTGAAGGACAGTATTCCAGTGACAGAGCTCTCAGCGAGCGGGCCCTTCGAGAGTCAGGACCTTCTCCGGAAAGGGTATGTGGGGAGTTGTGGCTGTGCCTTGCTCTAATGTGGCTTCTTTTCAAGGTCCTCTTTTTGAAAGGCTGTAAATGTGCGTTGGATTTGGTCTCTAGTGAGTTATGCACTCAGATGGAGCGTGGCAAGGAAGAGGACCACATGTTCCCTGCATTGGGATAAGCGTCTCAGCAGAGTAAGAGCGGGGCGGCCTCCTAGTGCATGCACCTTGTAAGGTGATTGGAGGACTCTGTGGGGTTTTCTGGTGAGGGGGCTAGCACTGGGTCTGAACCTAAGATGTCACATACTCAGAGGCGAGCCGGCTACCACTGAGATAAGTAGCCCTAGGCCTTGGTTTAGTGGGATTCTTAACTGCTCATAACTCAGAGAGCCATTGACTTCCTTGCACTACTAACTGCTGGAATAATTAACTTTTCTTTGGGAGACACTAGAGTGTAGCAGTTAGGATGATCAACACTGGACCTGGCAAGTATGACTTGAGTTTGGATCCCCAGCGCCCATGTGGAAGCAAGATTAGCCTGGCCACTTGGTGATGTCTTGTCCACTGAGAGACTCTGCCTCAGAATATAAGGTGGAGAGCAACAAAGGAAACACTGAATGCCAACTTCTGGCCTGCATGTACACTACCTGTGTGCACGTGCAGACACATGCACACACAAGTTTCTCTTAAGAACGTATGGTGTACACCAAGGAAACAAGCCTCCTATACACAGCAGGCCTGATGCACATAAAACTCCCGAGACTGGCAGTATGCACAGAAGCTGCATGGGCCATGCTGAGACAAGTAGACAAACCCCACCCCTAACCCGGAAGCTATCTCCAGTTGATAACCTCTCAAAAGGAAAAAGGAGTTTTCTTCAGTGGAGTAGGAGTGTGCATGCAAACCACACTTAAGGGCAGGCCTCATGCCCAGCCATAGCCAGAAAGTACAAAACAGACTCATAACTTCGGAGGGATTTTGTTTGTTTGCCTCTTAGTACTTTGGGCTTCCCCCCTCCCTCCCTTACAGGCCTTTTGTTCATATGTTATGGTTTCTGGTTTTTATGGGATTTCTGTGTGTGCAGATGTGTGTGTGTCTGAGTATGCAGATGTGTGAGTCTGTGTGTGCAGATGTGTGTGTCTGTGTGTGCAGGTGTGTGTGTTACGTTTTTTCTGTGGCTCCTTTTTTTCTGTTTGTTTTTCTGTCCAATTCTGGTTTGTTTGTTTTAATGTATTTATTATTATTAAGTTACCTGTTTGTTTCCTTATATTTTTCCTTGTGAGCCTAGCCTTTACCGGCTGAGCCATCTCTCCAGCCCTGCCTGTTTGTTTTCTAATGAGAACAAAAGAAGAGGTGTGGATTTGGGTGGGCTTGGAGGAGTTAGGGATGGGGAAATGGTGATCAGAATATATCGTATGAAATAAGTCTATAGTCAGCAAAAGATAAGAAAGGAGGGGAGAGAGAGGAAGGATGCTGTGCTGTGCTGCCTAGCTTTGGTTCCAGCTCTGCTGTCCCCGGAAGAATGTCTGGTGACAGGTTATTTAATGCTGTCTCTGTTCTCGTGTATGACAGGACTTGCAGGCATCTCTTACTGTGAGGAGTAAGGGGTTATCTCTGAGAACACCTAAGTGGTACCCGCTGTTATTGAGCACTAAGCGTTGGCTGCTGCTGTTGCTCTCTTCCAGCTCCCTGGCTTGCCTGCTTCTACAATTTCCTCTGTGTTTAGACTCGTTTCCAGTAGTCTGCCCTTGGCACATCGCTTTTCTGCTCGGTCATACAAGCTCAGTACGGCTTTCAATAAATACCCATAAGTTCTAAAGAGTTTACATCTTAATGTGAGTGCTGACGATTCCTGCAGTGAAATGCCCTTCCAATGCTGGGTCTGGGCACATACTTAATCCTCTTTGGATTTGCAGTAAAAGACACAGGGCACCTCTTGAATTGAAGGTGTGATTTGATTTGTAGTAAAATTAATAGGAGAGGGCTGGAGAGATGGCTCAGCAGTTGCAAGTGCTTGTTCTTACAGAGGGCAACTTCCAGCACCTCATGGAGGCTCATATCCACCTGTAACTCCATTTCCAAGAGAACAGGTGCCCTCTTCTGGCCTCTGTGGGAACCAGGCACGCACAAGGCTCACATACAAACAAACGTGCAGGCAAACACTCACAGACAAAATGAAAATAAGTAAAGAAAATTAATAGGCTAGCCGCCAACCAAGGCCTGGTGAGTTTTCTTCCGCATGAAATGTCATTTCTTTTCTTCCCAGTCTACCAGTAAGACTGCATTCGAAGGGCTGTTTTCATGGTCCTTCTCTCTGATGACTTTCTGTCCACAGACAGTACCTGGCAAGCGGCTGTTGCAGGGTCTCAAGGGTTCCTTCCAGTCCCCAGCCCCTGGCTTAGACAGTACTTACATGACAGTGACTGTTGGCCTGCTTCTAGCTGTGGTCCCTTAAGCATGTGGTTTGACAAATCTTTAGAAAAGGAACTATATATTGAAGAGCCTTAGCTATTCTGTCCTAAGAAAAGTATCCCATTGGAGTGGCAGTGATAATAAACACATGCTTAGTAGTTCTTTTAAAACAATTTTAAAATCTTTATTAGAAGATTGCCATGAGAACCCATGAAAGGCATTAAGATAAAAATGAAACTCAGTGGAAATAGTTCAATGGTAAAAATGTGTACTACTGTTTATGTTTTTTGAGATGGGGTGTCTCTGTAACTTTGGAGGTTGTCCTAGAACTCACTCAGTAGACCAGGCTGGCCTTGAACTCTCAGAGATCGCCTGCCTCTGCCTGCTGAGTGCTGGGATTAAAGGCATGTACCACCAACACCTGGACAGTTCTTTATTATAGTCTGAGGACATGAGTTAGCATCCATTTCTGGAAAGCCCCCACTAGTAATTGAAATCTTGAGTACCACTGTCTGTAACAGATGCTTTTTAGTTTTTCAAGACAGGGTTTCTCTGTGTATGCCTGGCTTTACTGGAACTCACTCTGTAGACCAGGCTGGCCTTGAACTCAAAGACATCTGCCTGCATTTGCAATAAAAACAAGGTTCTCACCTCCAGAAAACTCTCCTGCACACTACTGTTATCTAATGACAGTCTTGGGGTGTTGGTAGGGATCGTGCCCCAGGCCTCATGCTTGCTAATGCTCACCTGGTACTCTACAGTTACATGTGCAACTTTGACCTGTGATTGAGAGGCACGTGTGATCTCCTGGTAAATGTTTTGGATTTCCTCCTTTAGGTTTTCTTGTGTGAAAAATGAACTGTTGCCCAGTCACCCTCTTGAATTATCAGAAAAAAATGTGAGTATGTTGCCTTTGTCTTTCGTTTATCCTCTGCTAGAAAAACAGAAGTAGGTGTGGGCAATTTTTTGAGTTGATGTTAGAAGACCTTTGGGAACCATTGCTGGGTGTGGAGTGGAGACAGGCAGATCCCTGGTGCCCACTGGCTGAACTAGATGAATCTGGGCTCCAGCCGGGTTCAGTGAGAGACCATGTCTTAAACAAGATGGGAGCCGGGCGGTGGTGGCGCACGCCTTTAATCCCAGCACTCGGGAGGCAGAGGCAGGCGGATCTCTGTGAGTTCGAGGCCGGGCTGTACCGATAGCCTCCAAAACAATACAGAGAAACCCTGTCTCGTAAAAATCAAAAAAACAAAAACAAAAACAAAAAAAAAAACAAGATGGGAGACCTGGTGTTGACCTCTGGCCCCATTGTGCAGACACGTACATGAACACACATGTACACCACACATGCACACACCACACACATTGATGTACAGTTGTTAGCACGGCCTTGGCGATGCCAGTGTCGCACTTGTTAAGGACAGCACTGGTGTGTTTTTAACAAGCCCTTGGGATAGACTTGCTCTGTCCTCTCTAGTTCCAGCTTAACCAGGACAAGATGAACTTCTCCACCCTGAGGAACATCCAGGGTCTGTTTGCTCCCCTGAAGTTACAGATGGAGTTCAAGGCTGTGCAGCAGGTGGGTCTGCTCTATCCCAACGTGTGCCACCGTTTTTATGGTGGCTGTTTAGACGTTACGTCCCTTGTTCCCTCTGCTCTGCTTGCCTCTGTGGAGTGACCCTGCTTCCTACTTCATAGAGGAAAGGTTGTTGAAGGAGGGTGGCTTCGTGTTAGAGACACAGTGTCTAAAAATGTGGCTGTCTGCCTTTGTGTCTCTCTGCCCTCAGTGAGTTACTATGGATATACGGCTGGGTGAATGTACTGCTTAAGGAGTAGTTGTGTGCAGATGTCCTTCGGCCTGGGAGAACTGTCCCCTGCCCGTGTTCGGGGTTCATTTCATCACACTGCTTCTGGGAACCACTCTCTGTTGTCAGCAGCACTCTCTGTAGCAGACACCTTTATTCTCTCTTCTTGCTTTGGCTCATCAATGGCAGTTACATATATTCAAATCCTGTCCTAAAAATTGTATCAATCCCCAGTTAATTAATTAGTTTTGAGATAGGGTCTCACTCTGTAACTCTTAACTGGCCTGGAACTTGCTTTGTAGACCTCGCTGGCCTTGAACTCCCAGAGATCTGCCTGCCTGTGCTTGCTGTGTGCTGTGGTTAGAGGAATGTGCCCCCAGCTTCACCCAGGTGTCTTCTCTCTTGTCGGCTTCTGTAGGTTCATCTGCTGGAAGCCCCTGTTTCCTTCATCCTATGCAAAGCTCTTTCCTTTTCCCCGTGATTTCAAGACCGCAAACCCGTGTCCCCTTCTTCTCTGAAACCCGTTTGCAGTTGTGTGGTTCCTTTGGTCTGTTAACTGAAATGGTAGCTTTGTTAGTGCCCTTCTTGGCTCTTGCCTCACTGTTTCCTGCCTGTCTCTTTGTCATTCGTATGCTGTTGACTTACAGTAGTTCTCCTGACCTGTGATCCTATAGGCTTTTCTGGTTGGAAGGCCCACAGGCTCCTGGGATTTCACATGGGTCATGTAGAATAACTCATTATTGCTCACGTCTTTGTGGGTGACAGACATTGGAACATTAGCCTCGGTTGCCTCACTCGGTGCCTTGTTCCTCAGATGTCTTTACTAGAGCTGCCTGACTGTTGTACTACAGGGATTCTCCCCCTGCTCCTCTCAGCCCTCTGCCCTGCACTAGAGTGCCGGTAAAACAGACCTCACTGTATACGCTCTTCCGGATAAAACCCAGCTGCCTGATGCATTGGCTTCTTGCTGCCTACTTTAGGCTTCCATGCATTTATTTCCTGCTACCGTGGATTCCTTTCTCTAGCCTAGATAAACTTGAGTCTTGTGCTCAGTGCTATGAATGACTATATAGGCTTGTGGTTCTGCAAGCTACTTTAAGTACTTTGCAAGAAAAAGGCTCAAAAATGGCTTTAAATGTGAATGACTTGAGTCAGTGTGGGCTGTACCAACTAATATAAAAAGAGTAACATTCTGAAGCATATCTGTTGTTTAAGGTTCATTTAGTCTTGTTTTATGTGTGTGTGTTTGCATATGTGTCTGTACACCTCGTGTGAAGTCGTCACAGGGCAGATTCCCTGGGAACTGAGTTACAAGCTGTCCTTAGCCTCCGTACAGGTGCTGGGAACCTGATTTCCCTGGAGGAGCAGCCAATGCTCTTCCTTCACTGCTGAGCCATCTCTCAGTTCTTTGGTGTGGCATGGAAGAGCATAGCGCCCTGTATTTCCTGTCTGCTTTGTTAAGTTACATATTGCTAGCAGAGTGGATGGCCTGAGTTTTTAATACCATTTTGTCGAAGAGCTTTGCTAGGTGTCTGACCCCTGTTTCCCTGCCCCGTTCCTTGTATTTTGCAAGCCCCACTTTTCGTGCTCTTTCACGGTTGTCCCTGACTTAACTGCCTCCCAGACCCTTTGCCCCCTTCTCCATTCATAGGCTCCTGTTTCTAGTTCTGTTTCTTCTCTTTCTTCTCTCCTCTCCATGCTTCCTCTTTTTTGGTTTTGAATGACAACTGGAGAAATTTTTTCACATTGTAAAGACCAAATAACACTGGGGCTGTTGGCAATTGAGAACAGTATCTTCTCTGAGTGGAGAGGGTGGGTCTCCCTATAACCACCTCTGGGTTTTCAGTTCATTCGTTGCTGACCACTTCAGACTCTTGGTAAAGTATAAATGATCTGCAGCAGGACTGAAAGCTGAGGCTGGCCACGTTTTGCTGAGCACTGACTGCGGCACTGGTTGCTGCGTGCAGACTGCAGCACACCCTGTCTGCCCACTCTTTGAGACGGCGACTGGCGCAGAGCTGTGTGTGGGTCGTGGTAGTCAGAATGTGAATCCAGGTGCTTCTGCCTGCACAGCCTGTGCTTTCGATTGCTTACCAGTCTGCACCTGCCCTCAGTGCATGGCAGAGAGGTCACAGTGGCTGAAGTGACACTCACTTAAAAGCCTCATTAAGTGAGTTTGGTTTGTATTGCTGGTTACCACTGCATATGAAAAGTTTACATTTCACCTTTATTTTAAGCAGTGCAGATGACATAGAAATGGGGTGCCTGTTGCTTGGTAGAGTGATGCTTACTCGCCTGGGATTGCTCATGAACCTGGTCTCTCAGTGCTGGAGTTAGGTGTGCTCTTAGGCTCTGGGAGTTTGCTTTTCATCACGTGTAACAAGTCTTTCTCTGTCCTGCCAGCCAGCTCCCAAATAACCACACAGAGACTTGTTAATTATGAAAGCTCGACCTTCACTTAGCTTGTTTCTAACTAGCTCTTCTAACTTAAATTAACCCATTTCTATTCATCTATGTGCTGCCATGTGGTTCATAACTTTTACCTCTCCTATGTGTGCTGCTGTCTCTGCGTCAGTTAGCGCCTCCTCCTTTCTTCCTCCTGGAGCTCTCTGTCGGGAAGTTCTGCCCATACCTCCTGCCTAGCTATTGGCCATCTTATAACAATACATCTTCACAGTGTACAAATATCCCTGTGTGCTATAGTTTTTCTGAACAGAAACAATGCCCCAAAACACAGGTAGACATGGTGAGTTATTTAGTGGTAGTAAACACAGATGTGGTGAGTTAGTTAGTGATAGTAAACATAGGTAGACATGGTGAGTTAGTGGTAGTAAACACAGATAGACATGGTGAGTTAGTTAGTGGTTAGGCAGACATGGCAGGTTATTAAGTTAGTAAGTTGCTGTTCCAATGCCAACACACTTTAAAACTTGGTCTGCTTCTAAAGTGTAAAAAAAATTTTTCCAATAGCTAGATTGCAGTTTTACTTAGTTTTGTCCAGTTTTCAAATAGCAAGTAGAGGAGCATGGGATTATGGTACACAGTCTGGTTTCCCTTTGATTTTTCTAAAGCTACTGTTTTCTTTTTCCCCCAGGCCCAGCGTCTTCCATTCCTTCCAAGCTCAAACCTGTCCCTGGATATTTTGAGGGGCAATGATGAGTCCATTGGTTTTGAGGATATTCTTAATGGTGAGTGACACTAACACTTATGAAACCCTGTGCTGTTAAAGGTGATAGCAGCCAACAGTCATTGTCCCCAGGGACACCAAGACTGGCTGGAGTCATTTGTGTTTATTCACAGCCCTGAGGTAAGATTTAATGGTAATGACTCAGGTGACTTATTGTTTTGAGATTATGCATTTCAGTCACTTAGCATTCACTTGTTCCTTGTCCTGAGTAAGGCTGATGTCGGTGCTGTCCCGGGCCCTCCATCAGTGCATCTGTGGGACTGGTTTTCAGATAACAGAAGGAGTTGGATAAAAACGTCATTTACAACTTAAAACACCCCGTCTGGTGATCTGTGTGCTGAGGTGGGAAGTGAGGGGGATGGAGGAGCCTGCCATTGTTCACCAAGTTCTCCTAGGAATGATGCTGTGACTGAGTAAGAGCCGTGCACACAGCATCCTATGCTCCTTCCAGACCCGCCCTGTGCGTGGGCTCTTCCTGGTCCACCCCAGCAGTGCAGGGGATGGGGAAACCAGCAAAACCACACTGTGTTTGTTTTGCTGATACCTGGTGGTGGACACAGCAGAAGTCCAGTGAGTCACTGTTCCCTGGGGGGACTTTATGAATGCTGGAAAACCTAGTGTTCCAAAGCACACTCAGACTCCTGAGACTACAGTTTGGTCCATTTATTCTTAGCTTTAAATAAAAGTTACTAAGTTATAAAAATGACTCATAAAAATCTTCTGTAAAAAAAGAGAAGGGAGTTTTGAGCATTAATTTGGTCAATATTAAGGCACTGGGCAAAACAGTGAGTTTTTGCTCTGAATATAAAACAGTGAACCTTGGTTTCAGACAGAGGAGCCGGAGCCGCATGTTAAGCTAAAGCAGGAAATGATGGCCTATGATGAATTTTGGGAATTTAAGTAATACTGGATTGGGAAGGACAAGTACCTCTAGGATATAATGCATAAGTTGATCCCTCGGTTAAAATCAGAGGGAAGGCTGAGGTCCGAGAAACAGTAGTTTGGGGTCTGACAGTTAAGGCTTGTGAGGGATTGGGTAGGTGCCCGAGAGCAAGTCAGCCTGCTGTGGGTTTCTGGATGATTGAAGAGCCTGGAGACTTCCACAGCAGATGTCTAGATGTCAGCACTCTGTTAGTCCCTGAGCTGCACCTCTGCAGTGAAGAAAGGGTCGGATGATGCTTGTATATTTGGTGTTTGGTTCCAGAAGGGACTCCATATCCAGGGCTCCTCAGTCTTCAGTCAGGTGTTAGGGCTGCTTATTGTGGGACACTTGAAGCTCTGAGGTGTGGTTGTCAGGTCAGAGCAGTGTTGTGTTCCATGTGTGGAGCACAGAGGCCATTGCCGGCCTGGAGGTTGGTGTAGACGAGGTGTGCAGTCGCTAGTGGTGCTTGTTTCAAGGCTCTTAGAGTGATGGGAGCCAAGAGGGCACAACATGGAGTAAGGTGAGGTTGAAAAGCCAGCCCGGCCAGATTAAGCAGCAGACATTGGATGCTTACCTAGAATGCACTCAAAGCCAGGTAGTCCTCTTGGGCAGAGCTCTGACGTGACATCATTTTGTGTCTCAGAAGGACATGAAATGAGCTTGTGCACGTCTTTTTTTGTGTTCATTGTTTGCATCTCTGTGAGGTAGAAGTTAGCTGCAGTCCCGTGAGGGAGCTCGTGTCCGCCATGGCAAGACTGCATGGTGCGCTTGGGGTGGCATTCCTCGGTTGGGAACTGTGTGTGCTTAGACAGGGTAGCTGATTGCATAGCCCTTCTCTGATGTCATTCTTGTTCATCAGTGAATGACCTCCCGTACACTCACCGCTTGTCTGCACCTGCCCAGACTGCAACTTGGTCTCCTCAGGGAGTGCTGGCTAACTTGGTTCTGCACATTTTATGAGAGCACTAGGAAAGTTAAAACTGGGCTTTTTGAGGTACCCTCACCTCCTTATATATGGTGCGTGAGCTTCGGTTCCAGCAGAGGCTTCTCCTGTCTTCTGGAAGCTCAGGGCACATCTCCTAACTTGCAGGCTAATGCCTTGCTGCTGGGTGCTTCCTGTTTTGGTGAGAGTGATGATGTATTCTTAGAGAGTCAGAGCTTAAAGAGTTACTAGTGGCATACTCTGTGTTTAAAACCTGAAACAGCACTCGAGCAGATACTCCATGCACCAGATTCTCCACGCACCAGCAAGCCTCCTATGCTCCCGTACCCTGAGTTTCTTGTCATCCACACTGTGCTGGTTTGGTGTGCTGGACTCGGTCAGAGTTGAGAGGGCAGAGCTTTCCATGGAGCCCCTGTTGATGGGACTTGTCTTACCACAGTCTCTACTTCAGGGGTGGGGTTTAGCATGTTCTTGCTTTGGAATTCTGATTTCTGTTTGTGTGTCTTCGATGGGGCAGAAGATAGAAAAGATAAAATGTTTTTTGCAGAGTCTAGAGAAAGGCTCATAAGAGCACTGGCTGCTTCCTCTTCCAGAGGACCCAAGTTCAATTCCCAGCACCTTCATGGGTGTCAGCTCCTGTGGAACTGGAGTTACAGACAGTTCCACAGGATCTGACACCCTCAAATGACATTCATACAGGCATAATACCAATGCTCATGAGTAAAAATAAATCATTAAAAACCAGAAAAATGGCCAGGTGGTGGCGGCGCATGCCTTTAATCCTAGCATTCCAGAAACAGAGGCAGGAGAATCTCTGAGTTCAAGGCCAACCTGGTCTACAGAACTAGTTCCAGGACAGCCAGGAGTACACAGAGAAATCCTATCTGGAAAAAAGATTTTTTTTAACACACATTGGTGTTTTGCTTGCATGCATATGTCTGTGTGAGGAGGGTGCTTGGTAGCACAGACAGGTGTGAGCGTCCATGTAGGTGTGTTGGGAATTGAACCTGGGTTCTCTGCAAGGGCAGCTAATACTCTTAACTGCTGAGCCATCTCTCCAACCCCCTGTTCGTTTTCTTTAAGTCACCTATATTGTGATATGCTTTGTATGCTGTTGGATGCATCTGTTTTTAGGTGGGCAATTCTGTCCTTTACAGATATGTGTAGATACAGAGTGGTTTTACTGCCCACCCCAAGTTCGCTTGGCCCCTGTGCAGTCATTTCTCTGCTCCAGCCTCAGATAGGCTGCTTATTGTCACATTGGGTTGGTTCTAGCTGTCACAGATTCTGATAGGATGAGCCCTGAACTTACCCTCTGTGCCAGAAGAGTCCATTACAGTGTCTGATTTTGTTTCTTTCAGATCCATCACAAAGTGAGCTGATGGGCGAGCCACACTTGATGGTGGAGTACAAGCTGGGCTTGCTGTGATGCAGGGTGCCGCTGTGCGGACACAGAAGTGAATCGTGATTGCCTTTGCTACAGTCTGATGTACACGACATTAAAGAACTGACAACATCACTTGGTCATTTGGAAGTGTTTGGGTCTTTAGTTTTGGATTGTTGAGTCAGTTGAAAACCTAGAGGTGGTTTCTGATCTCTGAGGTTACAGCAAAGCCCAGGTTCCTGGGTTCTGAAAATTTTTCCCCTAAATGTTACAAACTCCACTGCTTTCTCCTCTTCTGTAAACTTAGTTTTAGATAACTATCATTAAGGATTTTTTTTTATAGGTTCTTTTGTTGTTTTGAGACAGTCTTTTTCTGTTACCGAACTCAGGCTGTCCTGGAACTCTGTAGACTAGGCTGGCCTCAAGCTCCCAGAGATCCTCCTGCCTCTGCCTCCCGAGGGCTGGGATTAAAGTGCTGGTTTGTCATTGATATTTGAGCCTGTGGAATCCCCAGGTGCCTCCTTCATGACCACATTCATGATGGGGTTTGGTGGCAGTACCTAGGCCTGAGTGCAAAGACCCGGCTGTGCTCTGTAGGATAGCACTTGCATCTTACAGTTATAACTAAGTATTCTTTCATGTTGAAAAGTGTAAAAGTTGGAGATTTTCGTCTTTTTTATGTGAGAAATTAGTTACAGCAACCAAGGCGTGTAGATTGAACTCTTGTGTTTCATAGATTTAGTTTATATTTTAGATTACCAAGCAATGTTCTGTTGAAGAAGAGTGTGTCACTTATTTTTAAGTTAACCTCACAATATAGAAATGTTTTAAGTTATTAGAATTATTGTTATTAATACATCATTATTATTATTCCTATTATATATACATCCATGAATAGTTCCATGCTACTTTATTTTAAATACATTTTCAGCATGATGGTTCTTAAAAATATTGCTCATGGACCTGGTCTATATAATCTAGTGGTGGCCCACACCTTTAATCACAGCACTGGGGAGACAGAGGCAGGCAAATCTCTTGTGTTTTAGGCCAGCCAGAGGTATACAGTAAGACCCTGTGTAAAAACAAAACAAAACAAAAACTCCCAAACTAAAGTTTTCAGAACATTATTAGCAAATGGATCATTTTTTACTAGTTCTGAGTGTTGTGATCACTGACTTTAGGAATACGATATCTGCAGATAGCTTGGGTTTCAACTTTTAGTCTGGACTGCTGCTGGCGTTGATGGGTGGAGCAGGGAATGCGGCGGGACATCTGCAGTGCATAGGACGTTAGTCCTCTGGTCAAATGACATGAGGAATTTCTTGTTTATTGTTTTATTTTTTGAGACAGGCTTTCTCGTGTAGCTCTGGCTGTCCTGGAACTCACTCTGTAGACTAGGCTGGCCTGGAACTCAGATACACCTGCTTTTGCCTCCAGAGTGCTGGGATTAAGGGTGTGCACCACCACCGCCTGGCTCACCCCGCACTATGAGACTCATCATTTATATTAAAGTGGTAGCCTCAGTGTTCTGAGAAAGCCGCTAATGAATAGTCTAAAGCCGAGAAGCAGAGCGCTGGTGCTTCCTAATCTAGAGCCCACGGTGCTTGTTTGCAGTTGGGAAATCATTTGGGTTCCTGGAAGCTTGCATATCCCTCTGCAGTTTTCCCCTTAGACGCTCTAATGGTGTTGGAGAATGGTTTAATGTTCTCCTTGCCACTGTTTGGCTCCTAAGTTACCAATCTTCACGTTCAAGGCCCTTTACAGGAATGTTCCTGATCTGCTGAAAAGGGGCTCTGTGTGCTCACTTAGAACCCCCAACTCCGCTGGGCGGTGGTGGCGCATGCCTTTAATCCCAGCACTCGGGAGGCAGAGGCAGGCGGATCTCTGTGAGTTCGAGGCCAGGCTGGACCGATAGCCTCCAAAACAATTCAGAGAAACCCTGTCTCGTAAAAAAAAAAAAAAAAAAAAAAAACCAACACCAAGGGATTCTCCAGCAGACACTGGCAGGCTGTTCTGTAACTCCACTGTTTTGAATGTCTACAAGGGTCAGAGCCAGGTAAGCGCTGTGACCTACAACACTGCCCCTGAGTCAGGCATCGATCACAAGGACTCCTTGGTTATACATGGTTTCCTATGCCCCTCTCGGGTTCAGTGATTTGCAAGCGTAGCTCGCAACACTGCCATTTGCTAAGAAGAATATCCTAAAGGACAGATGAACAGCCAGGTGGCAGAGGCTGAGAGCATCAATCGCTCTGAGGGATTTCCATGGGAGCTCATTAACTCTCAGGCCCTCTCCCTTCGGGAATTGAGGCTGGAGGAGGGAGGACTCCAGGCTTTGATCACGGTATTAGTATGTGATTAAGATTCCTAACACTAGAGATAAGGGAGGAGCATACAAAATAAGGGTGCAGAAAACCTGTCTTGAGAAAAACAAAACCCAAAATAAGGTGCAACAAAGAATTGCCAGAAGAGGGCGCTGGATCTCGTGCACCGAGTTACAGATGATCGTGAGCATAAGGTTCTGGGAATTGAACCCAGGTACTCTTAACTGCTGAGCCATCTCTTCGGCCTGTTTTCTGAGACATGGTTTCTCTGGTTATCCAGAACTTGCTCCGTAGACCAGGCTGGCCTCAAATTCACCTGCTTCTGCCTCCCCTGCTCCTTGTGAGATTTGTATTATTTACTTATTAACCTACGTTTTAAGAGGTAGATTTGATCATGACATTTGATACAGTCCTCAATGTACTTACTCCTATTCAGTCCTTCACACCCTTGTTTTGCCCTCTCCTTCCCCTGCCTACCCTCAAATAATTCATCTTTTTCAAGTGTAAGTCTAAAGTCTACAAATGGGAAAAAACATGTGTTTTTCTCCCCATTGTCCTCTCATGTTTCCCAGCTCTTAACACCCCCACTCCAACTCTTCTGCTTTCAAAGATAACTTCATTTCTGAGTATACTCCTCCATCCCATCAACTTCTGTATCTAACCCCAGCATCATATTTAATGGCCTCTTGAGGCATGTTGGAGGGAGCTGTATTTCCTGGCTAGCAGCTGAGCCCCTCAAAACACTATTCAGCCAAGAAGCTGTCTATTGATCCTTAGCTATATTAAGATCATCCTGGGCGTGGGGGGCAGCGCTGGTCAGTGGCACATCAGTCAAGAGCATTGACTGCTCTTCTAGAGGGCCTGGGTTCAATTCCCAGCTCCCACATGACAGCCCACAACGGTCGGTAACTCCAATCCTGGGGATTTGACATGTCCCACAGACAAACATGCAGGCAAAAACACCAATGCACATAAAATAGAAATAAGTTTTAAGAAATAAAGATGGGCTGGGTGGTGGTGGCATAAGCCTTTAATTCCAATGCTAGGGAGGCAGAGGCAGGTGGATCTCTGAGTTCGAGGCCAGCCTGGTCTACAAAGCTATACAGAGAACCCCTGTCTGGAAAAACCAACCAACAAACAAAAAGATGAGAGTTGTGATTTAAAAGACAAAAAGATCGTCGTTTCTAGTCTAGAAAACAGGTAGTCACTGTAGACTTCTCAGTTGAGGACAGATCAAATAGTGTGGATGCATTTTTACCCATTTGCAGTGTTGGGATTAAGTACATGGTCTTGCACCCAGTAGACAAGTGCCATGCCCCTGATCAGCACACCCCATCCCCAGTGATGTGGTTTTCATAGGCTTTTCACACCGTTTGTTCGTTGTGCAGTTCGTGCTTTTGGACATGAGCATGTACACCCCTGGCAGTGACGACGCTTCTTAGTGTTTATCTTGGTGTCTGCCTGTACATACTGCTACTGTAGCCCGACTACCGTCCATTCAAATGTCTCTGAGACTTCCCTTTGTCATGTGTGGGAAATGAAGGTCCATTTTACAGGTTACTGAGAATACAATACCTTGATAGAGAACATAGAAAACATGACATCTGCATCTTTAGGCATAACTTCAAAATATGGTAAAGGACCAGGGTGAATGAGAGGTGTTGGAGACGCAGGAGAGAAGGAGAGTCAAAGTTTTTTGTTTTTGTTGTTGTTTGGCTCTTGTTTTTGTTTGTTTGCTTGCTTTGTTTTGTTTTCTTTTGTGGGGATGAACTGCAGGGATGAGGAGAGGATGGGGGGGGGCTGGGAGGTTAGTGGAATTCTCTGCAAGGTGGAGACTCACTGGTCACCAGTCCTGGTTACTGGGAGAGCCCCAGACCAAACAGAGACCATGCTCAAAAAACCAGAGCGGGTGGGGACTGAGGAAGACCAGCTGCAGCTGTCTTGTGGCCTCCACAGGCACAAACACATACATGTACCTGCGCACACAGAAAAAATGAAAAAAAAATGGCAGGTATTGAATAACCCATGGAAACAAGATCAATCAACTAGACAGGTGCACAGCCCAACACTTTTCAATCTGTTTGCAGAGTTAGCTTAGTAACCATGGGGGTGGTTACTTCATAAAAGTCATTAAAGCTGTAACTTTAAACCCTTCTTACAAATAAAAGTAAAGAAATTATAGTCATCAAATTTAGTTCTACAACATTTACTGAGTGTGCAATGAACAAAGATTGTCCCTGTCCTCAGACCTGTAGGGGGAGACAACTTTTGCAGAGAACCTGGGTTCAGTTCTAGCATCCACATGATGGCTCACAAGTATCTGTAATTCCAGTTCCAGGGGGCACAGCGCCCTCTTCTGGACTATATGGGCCCTGCATGCATATGGCACATAGACATACCGTGCAGTACAACATTCATGCACACAAAAATAAATCTTTGGAAAATGCCAGTGAAAAATGCTAGATGGAATTCTTGTTTATACAAAGGGCCAAGGAAGCCCTTCGGAGATTGAGAGATAGATGACGAATGCCAAGCACCCCAGCTGCATAGGGAAAGCAGTGTTTTGGCTGGTACATGGCGATTTTAGTGAAACATGAGAGGAGGATGAATTGAGCAGTGTGTGTAAAGGAGACCTGGTGTTTAGTGGACGAGGGTGGATCCAAGCATGGGTGAAATGTGTCGTGACATGGAATGGGGCAGGGTCAGGCTGTGGTCACATGCTTGCCCGGTTATTTCCCTATGAGCAACAGTCACTGAAGGATTGTAGCCGGGAGAGAAAAGATCTGTGTTTTAGAAACATCCTTCTTGGCACAGTGTGGAGCCTGAGCAAGAGGAAGGATCAGAGGTGGGAAACCCAGCCAGGGTTTGCGGATCATGATAGCCTTCTGCCGATGCAGAGAGTGAGAGCTGTCTGCTCAGTTTTAGAATCTAGGACAGTTTTATTTATAATCTGAACTTGTACTCATTCCCCCATTACATACAAAAAACATCATCAAGCTTGCCACTGAGTAAAATAGTAGGAAAAGTGAAAAATACTTATTTTAAAAAGAGCTTCTCTATGAGGATTTCTGCATTCATCAATGGGGCCTTGATAGAGTCTTACAGAACAGTCAAGTATAGGGAAAATTTTAAGTGCCTGGAACATTATTTTCATACCAGTGATTATTCAGCATAAGAATTCTTCATTCTGTCATCAAATTCCCTGAGGGGTCAGAAGCCCATTGTGCAGACAGACAGACAGACTGAGGCTGGGACTCCTTGGTTTCCTTGAGAGACGGGAGCACGTCAGTGAGGTTACTGCTTCAAGTCTTATTGCGGTTTCCCAAGCCCTCCTCCGCTCTCCGCTTTGCTCCTCTGGTCCATGGAGAAGAGAGGAGGGCGCTGGGGCCTGTTCTTGCTGTACTGAAGAACACTGTGTGTTGGATGGCCGCAGAAACAGAGCCAGGCGCTGCCTCACAGCTCGCTCGGCTTAGGGAAAGGACCTGGTAACAGACCGCTAATGACATACTGATTGTGAGGTGCATGTTCTTCAGGAGCTGTGCGTATGACATGGGCATTACTGCTGCCTGGCGTCACTCTGATGCGTGCTCACTGGGCTCTTCTGGGACGAAGAGCGTGTAGCTTTCCTCTTCCCAGCCAATGCACTTGACACCCCTACAAAATCAAACAAGCATTTGCAAAGGGTTAAGAGATACATAAGTAACCAGGGTTCCGTTGCTTCCACCCATACACGGCTTTTAATAAATTATACAAGCTCTGTGTAATAGGCATATCCTGACATTTTGAACTTCACTGACTCATTATGTATAGTGTTCTAAGATTAATAAAATAAATGAGTTTTTTTCTCTCTTCTACACCTCCAAGATACTATTCTTAAGGGTGTCTGTAAAGCTGGGTGGTGTGGCGTGTTGGGGGAAGTCCTGTGCATTTGTCCATAAAGCACTGTCTGGCCAATAGGAAATCTAGATAGGTGGGACTAGGAGTCCAGGAGGACTCTGGGAAGGAGAAACACAGGAGAATTCAAGATGTAACCGCCATGGGGTAGGAAGCCTGGAACGTCTCCGGTAAGAGAAATACTTAGATTAACAATTATGGGGTAATTACTTAAGTCAGAGCTAGCCAGTAAGAAACAAGCAAGGCCAACAGCTTCATAATTAATATAGCCTCCTGTGTGTTTATTTGGGACTGATGCGGCTCTAGAACCAGGCTGGCGGGAAAGCTTCTCTCAAGGAAATAGCTTCTCTTAACAGTGGCGCATGCCTTTAATCCCAGCACTGGATTAAACTCTGAGTTTGAGGCCAGCCTGGTCTATAGAGTGAGTTCCAGGACAGGCTACAAAGCTACAGAAAAACCCTGTCTACAAACACACACACACACACACACACACACACACACACACACACACACACACACACGTGCCCATAAAAGGACTTTCATTCCTCTGTGACCCAAGGCCAGCCCCCGCCAGCTCTCAATGACCAATGACACTGTTTCATTATTGGCAGGTGTATTCCTGATCAAATGTTCTCTAGAAAAGCATCTTCTGAGGCAAATGGCAAGAATCTGTCATCCCACATGTAGAGTCAGAAGATTCATTTAACCTTCTGATGAGATGATGCAATACCTACCATAGGCCGATGGCTGGGAGGACGAGGAGGCCAGCAGACAGAAGAAAAATGAAGCCAGGGTACCAAGCAACAGTGGCAGAATAAATACCGTTGTAAACAGAGGTTGCAGCAACTCCACTGAGTGTCTCTAAGAAAGCTATGCAAGCGAACAGCGCACCTGGGGTGTGGAGAGAGAAAAAGAAAAAGGCCAACTCAAAAAACAACAGTCAAAGGTGAACCAAGAGAATTGAAAACAGCCACAGAGCTGGTCAGTGGTGATACATGCCCTTAATCCCAGCACTGGGGAGGCAGAGTTCAAGGCTAGCCTGATCTATAGAGTGAGTCCCAAGACAGCCAGGACTACACACAGAGAAACCTTGTCATGAACACCCCCCAAAAAAGAAAAAAAGCTGCCCCCCAACAAAAGAAAAGAAGAAAAGAAAGAAGGGAGGAAGAGAGAGAGAGAGAGAGAGAGAGAGAGAGAGAGAGAGAGCGCTTTGGGGCATGGCATGTGACCCTCCAATGATCCATCTTCTCACATCTTGAGAAGAGGTGGGGGTGCAATTCCGATGGCACATTCTTGTCTAGCACGCAAGAAGCCTGGGGTCTAGCACACCAACCAGGTGTGGTGGCCCACACTTGTAATCCCAACGTTCAGAAGGTGGAGGTAGGAGAATCAGAAATTCAAGGTCATTTCCAGCTTAAGAGCCTGTCTCAAACAATAACAACAACAGCAAAACCCCAGAAGTAACCAGCCCAGTTTGCAGATGAAGGATCTGAGGCAAGGGGCTCCCTGTGGACTTGATGGGAGAGATGTTGAAAACCCCAAATAGCTGAGCGCCGATGTCTGCAGGGAAAGCCGACAGAAGTACTTCCAGCCGACTCTTTTGGAAACTGCAATGCCTCCTCCCACAGCCTCAAGTCCAGCCAGCTGTTAGACAGGAAGCCAGCCGCGGATAGGAAATACTGTGTGGACACTTACGTGTCTCCTGACTGAGCTACAGCTCTGGCAAGCTCATGCCCACATCTGTTCTGCTTGCCCTGATGTCCTCAGCGCCCAGTTGTCCTAGCGCGTGGCAGCCATTTCACATGCATTTATCAAATGAGTGAATAAAGCTTTTGCTCAGGGCTCTATGCCCAACAAACACTCCATAGCATCTACTGCCCCCGTGATTTACGGTGAAGCAAGGAGCCAGTTTGACTGGCTTTCCTACCTGCTCAGTTACAATGTTTTATTTGTGTTTCTTGCTATACCCAGGAATAGTGCTACAGTACAAAAACCAGACTACTGTGTCTGGTCCATAGGGGATCCGGCCATTCTCTAAGATAAATAGGTTGGGTTGGGCACCATCTGTCTCACACAATATGCTGTTGTGGAACAGCGTCAGCCCATTGCTCAAGTTCTCTGGGCAATCCAATGTGTTAAGTAGTTGTAGAGATAAGCTGAATTAAATACACCTGAATGAGTGTACTTTCTAGACTCAAAAAAAAAAAAATCAAGCAACTCACAACTCAAGCCTGTTTTATTGTGCCCCTATGAGTTTGAATGACGCCAAAGCAGGCCAGCAAGTCCAAGACGTGAGATTGTTAAAAACACAGGGACTTCCAGAAACATCACCTAAATGCTATTTTCTCTCCCTTCTAGTTCTTCAAGCATGTGATCTCCCACTGAACTATGCCCAAGCCTCTGAACTGTCAGAGTTGAGCTGGCAGAGAGTGAGTGGCACCCGGTGACCTCTGTACTTTGTGGCCCTTCTCCCTTGATTACTCAAAAGTGCATCGTATTTTCATAAAGTAGCCATTTAGAAACAATAAAGAATGGGAATATATTGAGCTGTGAAAAATTTGCCCCTATCTAAAGTACTTCCGAGTTCAGAGGGAGGAACAAGGTCATTAATACTTTTATATTTATTTTATGTGTATGCGCGTTTGGCCTGCTGGTTATGTATACGCACCATGTGCGTGCCTGTGCTTATGGGGGCCAGAAGAGGATGCTGGATCCCTGGCTCCGGAGTTACAGAAGGTTGTGAGTCGCCATCCAGGTGCTGTTTCTCCATGGCACCTGTTCAGTTTTCCATTCCTAAGTGCTCTCTACATAACCATCAGGACAGACCTTCGCCCTTGACTTCAGCAGGGGTTTCTTTGATGGTACACCAACAGAATAGCGATAAAAGAAAAGTGATGTACATAAGGGGTTAGAGGTGGCTCAGTGGTTAAGAGCACTGGCTGCTCTTACAGAGGACCCAAGTTCAGCTCCCAGCACCTGAGAGCCTAGGGGTTATGTGTAAATTATATAGAAATACTATCTGGCTTAAAACTGTTTTAACTATTTTCATGAATTCTTCTGTGTGTAAAGTAATAGGTTTGACTGAAATTTTCACGCATATGCCACTGTAATTTGTTCAGAATGTTGGTGTCTGTGAGGGCCTCTGGAACATTCCCTGTCATACACAAAGGGGCAGCTGCATTTAGATGTTACGAATACAGCTAACCAGTGGCTAGGGATAAGTGTGATAAGTTTCTATACTGTGGAGGCTGGATGGAATCACAGAATTTCCAGACTTTTTAAGAGTTCCCTGTAGCAACTGGACAATGGTGAGAGAGCTGTCCCCAGCCTGCAACTCACCCCATCCGACTTCCCCTGTCTGCCTCAGAAGGGATCATTCATACCTGGGTGTGCAGACACCCAGATACTGTGTACAACTCCAAGGTCAGGACAGACCTGCCCATGAAGCCACCCCCTGGAACCCCCTTTGGTGGGAAGGGGCACATAGGGGCTGGGCATGGTCCATGGGAGAGAATCATCCAGGCACTCAGCAGACTTGAACCAGAGTGGCCCAGCTAGCCAGAATGCAGCTAGGAGGGATAGGAGTATTGTAGGTTCCCAGTGGGGAGAACACTTGACTTCTTCCAGCCGAGACAAGGTCAGAGAAGACCTCTAAACCTGGGCCCCTGTGGAGGCTCATAGAAGTGGCTCTGTTCCATCTTGAGATAAAGTCAGAGAAGTCAAGCCTATTATTGTTCCTTCAAGATTGAGCCACAGGATGCTAGGCCCAAGATGTGACTATTGTGTGTCTTGCCTTGACAACAAGATATCTGGCCTAAGGTGTAGCTAATGGATGTCTTACCTAAACAACAAGATATTTTGTTTAGGGTATGGTTACTTGGTGTTTTGGGTTTTGAGGTGGTAAGTATATTTGTTTGTTCCTTGTATCATGGTAAGGAAGTCTTTTACCATTCTCCCATTTGGATTAGGGTATATACACGAACTCAGAGCAATAAACTTGGGGCTGATCCATTATTCACTGGATGGCTTCCCTACTCTATCTCTAGTTTCTTGTTTGTATCTTTCCTCAATCCACACTCCTCCTTTCAAGCATGGGACCAGATAAATCTGTTGGACAGGTCCCTAATCAGGGCCCCTCTGCCTGAGTGTAAAGCTTAGTATTTCCTTCAAAAAAGAACCCTGAAGGGGTTCCGGGAGATTCTGAAGCTGGAAGCCCTGATTGTACATCTGTTATAGTCTTTCCAATAAACTCACCTTGTTCAGTCGAGTGGACCACCTTTGACAGCATGGACCTCAGGACAGAGAATGGCATCATGGTGAAAAAGAATGGTATCCTGACTGTGAAATGAACAGACAATCAGATAATCAAATCAAAGTAAGTCAGGAAGCTCACTTCTCTAAACATCTCTTCATATGAGCAGCCTGACTTGCTCTTGCTGAAGATCCAGCTACCCACAGTTTCTTCTAGTAAATGAATGGACTACTGACTCGCCATTTGAAGCTTGCTTTATTCTAGAATTCTGGTTTTGGTCCTATAAATAGCATTCATTTGCCTATTTTCCTAATGATGTAATAATTTATTTAGCAAGTTTGACTTCTAATTATTTTTCACCCATTTAAAAAATTATTTTCATTTTTGTTACTCTGTGTGTGTGTGTGTGTGTGTATGTGTGTGTGTGTGTGTGTGTGTGTGTGTGTGTGTGTGTGTGTATGTCCATGTATGTATGCCTATGGGAGCCAGAAGAGGGCGCTGGATCCCCTGAACCTGGAGTTAGGGTGGTTGTGAGCCAGGAAACTGAACTCTGCTCCTTTGGCAGTATCTGCTCTTAACTGCTGAGTTATCTTTCCAACTCCTTTTAAATGGTTTTTGTTCTTTGGACTTTACATTCTTGGTGCTCTTATTACCTTACTGTAAGGATTCCTTTATAGGTAAACTGGCTTTGTATTGTTTTGTTGGTTCATTTTTTGGCTGGAAACTTCATGAACATAATTGCCTCTGTTCTTAATTGCCTCAAACTCACAGAGATTCCTCTGCCTCTGCCTCCCAAATGCTGGGATTGAAGGCGTGTACCACCACCTCCAGCTTTAAGTTATGCTTTTTTCTTTTTTTTTTTTTTTTTTTTTTGGTTTTTACGAGACAGGGTTTCTCTGTATTGTTTTGGAGGTTGTCGGTCCAGCCTGGCCTCGAACTCACAGAGATCTACCTGCCTCTGCCTCCCGAGTGCTAGGATTAAAGGAAGTTATGCTTCTTAATTGAATCATTTTTAGTCATATCATAAAAGAATGGCATTTGCTTTTGCAAATAGTTTATTTACAGTATTTGCATACCTTGACTAAATGTGGTCTCTTGAAAAATCCCAGCAGAGGCAGGCGGATCTCTGTGAGTTCGAGGCCAGCCTGGTCTACAAAGTGAGTTCCAGGACAGCCTCCAAAGCCACAGAGAAACCCTGTCTCCAAAAACCAAAAAAAAAAAAAAAAAAAAAAAAAAAAAGAAAAGAAAAGAAAAAGGGATGTGGCTTCTACTGTCTAAAAGGCACAATGCAAAGTGCTTTCTAGTTCTCTAAGACTTGTTATAAAACCCTCGGAATGAAGCTTTTCTGTGCCCATCACACAAGGAGAGAATAAAGGATTCCAAGGAATGCACCCAGTGATATAGGAGGAAGTTGAGCCTAATTCTGATTCTCCAGACCGTTTCTCCACAAGTGGCAAAGACCTCCATGGTAGAAACAGCAGGCTTGGACCAAGATTCTACATTACAGTTCCATTATCTGTTCCAACGCAGCATTCTAAGGAACACTCATTTCAGTAAAAGCCACACTCAAGAACTGAATCACACCGAGAATGTCCCTCAACGTTTTTGGCAAATCCGCAGATTTGGAAAACCGTGATGATTCCATGTATGCATCATATTTTGGTAAGTCTGCCACTATAGTTATTGACTTCTGGAAAGCTAGCCATCTAAATGGACGCAGAGCGGGTTCACGGAGAGCTTTGTATTCAGCGTGATCCCCTTCTCCCACTTTATAGAGAAATTAAACACATTTGTAACTCACCTAAAAGCATCATCAGGGTGGTCCTGGTGAAAGCAACCAGTATCATTCCCACCATGGTGGTCAGAATACCAATGAAGACGATGTGAATGTCCTCCAAGCAATAGGAAAACAGCCATATGCCTAGGAAACTACTCAAGAAGGAGACGCTGCCCAAAGCTGTCCCATAGCCTATATAAACCTCATTCCAGCAGAGTGGAGAGGCCAGCTCATAAAGTGTGAAAATTGGAGAGATGCCGATTACCACAAAAAAATACATGACTATGGTAAAAATCAGCAGACAGAGCAAAGACCGCCGCTTACCGGAGCCATTTTTAAAAAGCATGTACGTCCGGTAAAACAGGTCCTTGAGGCTTTCACTACAGGACATAGTGACAACCTGAGATGAAGACTCCTTTATGGGATCCTTGAGGAAAAATGAAATGTAGGTCAGGTTGACTGTAAGAACTACGGCAATGATGAAATAGGACCACACAAAGCCCAGTTCTCGAATAAAATAGCCAGATGACAGGCCCGTTAGCCCAGTAACGACTCCGAGCATAAAATCCAGGATGGCTATTCGAATGACTTTCTGCTTGTAGTCTTTACACTGATCCACAATGTAGGCAAAGCAAGCGCCCCAAAACGTGGTGTAATTCCCAAAGAGGGCACCAAGGAAGGTGGATGCGATCAGAAACTGGAGAGGAAGGCCAAAGTTGGACAGCACACACAGCCAGACGTTGGTTCCTAGAGAGCCAAGAGACGACAGGACCATGGGGAGTTTCCGTCCATGGTTGTCACTGCTTGATAAAAGCATGAAGGTGGACAGCAGGCCAGGAATTAACCCACTCATTTCCACCTGCAGGTTGAAGAGAGATGCCTTTTTCTGAACCTCCTGCAAGGACAAAGAAGATGAAGTGTTTACAGATATGATGACCATAAAAAAGATTGTAGTGTACACTTTCTTGATATTGCGGCTGATGGTGAGTGGGAGGCCTTGGGTATGTGGGGGGACAGTACCAATTAAGTTTTCATACAGTTCCTACAGCATATGTCAGGCTATATACCCACACTTAGTCATGATACCTGCACACCTCTCATGGTAGAGACTCATGGCTATAAGAAGAAAAACGCATGCACTAGTGTGTCTGTTTATTCAAAGGACATGTGCACATCACAGACTCTGGGGCTAGCAAGGGAATGGTATTTTTCCCCCACCCCATGAATCATTTGCACTGAGAGGTCATTGTGACTCCTGTTCTACAGCCTGGGTGACGAGCCTTGCTGCGATGGGTTTTCCTGCAGAGGCTACAGGAGGGAAGCAAACAGTTCATATGCACTTGCTTGGTCGACTCTAGCCAAGCAGAGTTCTGCTCCCCTTTTAATCTCTGTGTCCACAGACAGACTAGTGAGAATGGATTCCTTCATTTACTAAAGAAGCAATGGGATAGATCCCGGGGGAGAGAGTCTTGTATTGCTCAAGATAGTTGCAGTCTGTGCAACGATGACACACAAGAGGGCATGTGTACACAAGAGCACACACTTGGGGAGCTGTGACAGTCATGGCAACCATTAGGTGAGAAGAACTTGGGGCTATTTAGAGAGGTCTGTGAGCCTGGAGATATGGTTCAGTGGCTAGGAGCACTGGTTGCTCTTGCAGGGGACCCAGGTTTGGGTCCCATCACCCATGTGGTGACTCATAACTGTCAGTTACTCCAGTTCTAGGGGATCTAACATCTTCTGGCCTCCAGAGGCACCAGGCATGCACGTGGTGCACATACATACAAGTTTGCAAAACAGCCATACACATAAACATAATTTAAAAGTTCTTTATAGACACACTGTGTTTGCCATGGTTCACTATTGTCCAATTCTTGCACAGGGCCTGTGGCATTTTTTTCAATGGTACACAACATGTGTTAAGAGCAAAAGACCCATGTTGTCAGACAGCGCATGCCTTTAGTTCCCACACTTGGGAGGCAGAGGCAGGCGGGGTTCTTGAGTCTACAGAGCAAGTTTCAGGACAGCCTAGGCTTCACCTTTGTCTTCTTACACTCATTGTCACTATCTCTGAGAACAGTACTGGGCACATGGAAGGCTCTTGGTGGGTACCAAATAAACACATGGCTGAAGAAGATAAAGCCTCTGCCACTTGCTGGCCACAGAAGATATTATCAAATTATTGCGTCTGTGACTGCTTCTTCTGACAGGAGGGAATAGAGCCTTACTTTGCAGGCTACTAGGAGGGTTACATTTGAGAGACATATGAGCTGCCTGGCACCAGCCCCGGGCTGCATTCAGTGATCAGCCCTGCCTGTTCATGCGCACATCTTTGCGTACTTAGAGAAGCCATCAGGTAAATATTTCCTGAGTAAATAAATACAAAGTCACCTTTTAACCATCTTCCCAAACAGGCTTTCCCAATGGGGTTCCTGCTTTATACTGGTCCACCCAAGTCTCTCTCCTGCCTGCTTCTACTTCCACCTCTGCAGTCTATGGTAAAACAGATTTTCTTTCTTTTTCTTTTTTTGTTTTTTCAAGACAGGGTTTCTCTATGGCTCTGGAGCCTGTCCTGGAACTCACTCTGTAGACCAGGCTGGCCTTGAACTCACAGAGATCCACTTGCCTCTGCCTCCCAAGTGCTGGGATTAAATAAGATTTTTAACAAGACAAACTCAAAGCACAGTTCCATCTGGAGTCATAATAGGGACATAAGACGTGAGCTGTGAGGCTGGAGAGATGGCTCAGTGGTTGAAACTCTGGCTGCTCTTTCAGAGGACCCAGATTAGGTTCCCAGCACCCACACGGTGACTCACAACCATCTGTAACTCCAGTCTCAGGGGATCTGATGCCCTCTTCCAGTTCCTGAGGGCACTGCACATATGTGGTACACAGACATACATGCAGGCAAAACAGTCATACATTTAAAAGAAAGACAGCAGGGCATTGGTGGTGCACGCCTTTAATTCCAGCACTCACAAAGCAGAGGCAGGCGGATCTCTGTGAGTTCGAGGCCAGCCTGGTCTACAGAGCTAGTTCCAGGCCAACCTCCAAAGCCACAGAGAAACCCTGTCTCAAAAACCTAAATAAATACATTAATTAAATAAATACAACTTTTTTAAAAACTCGTGTTACCAGTTTACTTCTTGAGAGGTAATCATGTAACAAGGAAATGGTATAGTTAGTGGCTAGAAAATTCCTTCTTCCTCAAAAGTCAACAAGCATGGTTAGAACCCTACTTCTTTACTTCTTAGCCAAAAGTACCGCCACCGTGTAAGGGTCCCCATGGAGATTAAGCCCATTGCCTGTGACAAGGCTCTAAGAACTTGGACCTTTGAAAAAGTAGATAAAAATAAAGTTTTGTTTTGAGACATGGTCTCGCTAGGTAGTCCAGGCTGGCCACTAACTGTAATCCTCCAGTCTTGGCAATATTACCTGTGGTGTGTGTGTGTGTGTGTGTGTGTGTGTGTGTGTGTGTGTGTGTGTGTGGTTTGAAAGAAATGGCCCCCATAGACTCACAGGGAGTTGCATTATTTTCCAATAATGTATGGCCTTGTTGGAGAAGTGTGTTACTGGGGGGGGCAGGCTTTGAGGTTTCAAAAGCCCAAGCCAGGCCTAGTGGTTCACTGTCTTGTCCTGATGACTGTTGATCCAGATGTAGAACTCTCAGCAACCTCTCCAGCACCATGTCAGCCTGCATGAGCCATGCTTCCCGCCATGATGATAATGGACTGAACTCTGAACTGTAAGCCACCTCCAGTTAAGTGTGTTCCTTCATAAGAGTTGCTGTGAGCCGGGTATTGGTGGTGCATGCCTTTAATCCTAGCACTCGGGAGGCAGAGGCTGGCGGATCTCTGTGAGCTCAAGGCCAGCCTGGTCTACAGAACGAGTGCCAGGACAACCTCCAAAACAATACAGAGAACCCTGTCTCGAAAAAAAAAAAACAAAAAAACAACAACAACAACAAAAAAAGAGTTGCTGTGATCATGGTGTTTCTTCACAGCAATAAAAGCCCAAGACATTGTAACATGAATTGCTGATCACGCTCTTTTGGGTGTCCTTACAGGTACGTAGATCTCTCCCTACAACGTGTGTGTGTGTGTGTGTGTGTGCACGCGCGCGCGCGCGTGTTAATAAAAAACATTGGAAAATAAGACTTCCATTAAAATATAAACTTTCAAATATGAAACATAGGTGAGAGAGTGTAGTTTATTCTTCAATTAATTTTTAATTTGTTGGGACAAGGTATCCTTATGTAGCCTGAATGGTCTTGAACTTGTAACCCTTCTGCTTCTCTCTCCCAAGTGCTGGGATTACAGACATTCACTACAATAAGCACTCTCTCATTACTATATCCTCAACCCTTGAATTTTTGAGACAAGATGTCTCACTATGTTTCCTAGGTTGGCTTTGAACTCATGCTCTTCCTGCCTCTGGCCCCTAGATGTTAGAATTACAGGCCATGTATTACCATTCTGCTTAGTTAAGCCTCTTCTTCTCTCCACACCCTGAAATGTAAACTAGTATCTTACTTGCTAGCACACAGGGTGTACCTGTTATTGGGATGTGTCACAATCTGTTTCAGTGGTCAGTTTGACACAAACTAGGGTCAGCTTGGAGGAGGGAACCTTAACTGAGTGACTGTCTCCATCAGATTGGCCTGTGACCAGGTCTGTGGGGCATTTTTCCTGATTGTTAGTTGGAGTAGGGCCCAGCCCACTGTGGGTGGTACTGTGCCTGGGCAGCCAGTCTTGGTTGTGTAAGGAAAGGTGTGTGCCTCCAGCTTCCTGCCTTGGCATCTCTCCATGATGGTCTCTGACCTATAAGCCAGATAAGACCTCTCCTCTTCCAAGTTGCTTTTTGGTCAGTGGTTTTTCTGTTTGTTTGTTTATTTGTTTGCTTTGTTGGTTGGTTTTGTTTTTTTTGAGATACGGTTTCTCTGTGTAGCCCTGACTGTTCTGAAACTCTGCAGACCAAGTTGGCCTTGAACTCACTGAGATCCAGCTGTCTCTGCCTGCCTAGTGCTGGGATTAAAAGAGTGTGCCACCACCACCTGGCGTTGGTCAGTGTTTTGTCACAGCATCAGAGACACAGACTTGGACAAGAAGGCCCACTAAATATGGCTGTCATGATGCACAATGTCCTTTTACATAAAATGGACAGTTGGGGCCAGGCGGTAAGAAAGAAAATTTGTTTTTCTAGTTCTCTCCAGGGCTAGCTCCTTATTTTTAGAGTGACCAAGACACACAGCCCTAGCTCCCCCTCATTTGGAAATTGAGGGGCCAGGCTCACACAACAGAGTGGGCTACTAGAGCTGGAAACACCGAGCAGGGGACAAGGCTCTCAGACTCAGAGGGAAGAGGCTGTTCTCTGAGAAGCCGTACAAGGGCAGCATCCAGAAACGGCCAGAAGGAAGGAATCCAGGCAAAAGTGATGCTGTCAGCCCCCCTTCTTGTCTGGTCCTGTCCCAGCTATGGGCAGCAGGGTAGGGCTAGGTGTGGGCGGTTCCACTTCCCTACTCCTAGGGAAAGCACCTAAGATCTTGGGGCACCAACTTTGGGGGACAAACCTGGAATAAGGACGGTCTCCTGAATATTGGTCCAGTTGAAAACAAAACAAAAAAAGGAAAAGAATCAAACAGAAAGTTTGGCTAAAATCTAAATGAGATCACATTGCTATAGGCAGTGTGTATGGGGGTGGGGGTGGGGGGGGTAAGGTGTAGGTCAGAAACCAGGTCTGGAGGGGCTAACACTGTCCTTTTTCCCCTAGGCTCCTCCCACTACCACAAGGGGCTTGCTCCTATCACCTGGGGAGGGGTGAAGGAAATCCCTGACTCACATACAGAAATGGTGAGTCCCTGGGACCTTCTCACTCCAACTTAGACATCATAGTCATGTGATCTTATACTCAATTTCTTCCATCCATCTATATATCCTGCCTTCCCCTTTATCATTGCTGCTGTTGTTGTTACTTTGAAACAAGGTAGCCCAGGCTGGCCTTGAACTCACAACCCTCCTTCCCCAGCCTGAGGCCTGAGCAGACTCTGTGGAGGGCCGTAAACCATTCTGTGAGGCCCATGTCCTTCTCTTTGTGACTGTGCAGGCCCTATGGCTGGTCAGAAATGCTCTCTTCCAAGAAAATTCTCCCACAGCATGAGGAAGTAAGGACAGGCCTGGTCAAGCAGCTGGACCTGGTCCCATCCAGCTTCTACCTGATACCTTGGAGCAGCTGGGTCTCTTTCAGGCCTTCCTTGGGACCTTCTGCCATGTTCCTACTTCAGACTCATTTGCCTGCACAGAGAGACCCTCAGACCAGGGAAGGCAGCCCAGGACCAGGGCAGTTCGGTCCCCTCGACCTCCTCTCATCTGTGACTGTGAAAGCAGTTCCTTTGTGTTTCCACAAAATTTCCCTAACAAGAGCAGTTCTGAGCTGGCTAATGTGGCACTGTAGGAAAATATCTGATGTCATCCCCTCCACGCTGGACTTGGGCATTGCAGACTTTTGATCAAGACTGCCTCAGGCAGAAACAGAATGATGGATGGCATAGCTCCTGTCAGAAACATGCAGAACAGAGGGAAGCCCCATAATGCATTTTCAGGTTCTGTGAGCCAAAGTGAGCATCCCCAGTCCAGAAGTGGGCACATGACTCAGCACTTATCTCCTGTCACTACCTCCTGACCTCAGCAAACGCTGCCCCACCCCATGGGTGACAAAGGCCCTGGTCCAGTTTTTCAGACATTTGTTTTTGTTTCAAGAGACCAAAGAGTGATGGGGTTGTAGTGAGATTTTTCCTACGGAGAAGAGTTGGTCCCACACAGGGAGGGATTTTACAAAAAGTGTAATTAAAGGTGCTAGGAGGAACCATGAACTGAAATGGGAACTGAGAGAAGACCGCTTGATTTTTGTGTGTGTGTGTGGGGGGGCGGGGTGGTAGGGTAGGAGGTTGTCACACCCTGGAGAGCCTCAGGTTTGGAACCTGTTTCCATTCCCTTGTTGACTACAGGTTGGCAGGCTTTTCATTTCTTACCTCCCGGAATGCAAAGATCGGGTCGCTTTTGTTTTGGTGACATTCAGAGACATTGCCACCGGAATCAAAGGTGTAGTTACCGTTTTCTTCCCAGATCCTCCGGTACACATACTGCGCTGTTAGCGGGACGGTCAGGGTCATAGCAAAAGCGTTTAGGAGAATGGCGGGCTCGATGAATGAAATCTTCATATTGCTCAGGTGGGCAGATGGAGTCTGTTTGTTAGAGGGAGGAGGGGGAACAGAGGAAAGAACTCATCAGTCGATTCCTTATCCCAGAGGCTAAATTGTCAAAGATGGGGAAATTGGAACAATGTGTCACAAACATGAGTAAGCAAAGAGAGAGTTCCAGATTTCTGAAAGAGTGCCCTTGCCGGGAGAGGGTCCCCGATTCCTCTCCAAGGAGCGGACTAATGTCTCTCAGCACTAAGTTCTCCCCGGCTCTGCTTAGTCAATGCTCACAGTGCTGAGCCGAGCTGCACTGGCTGGTTCCCACAAGGTAAACAATGAAGTTCTTGGGCGACCCAGAGGTTACGCAACTGTTATTATTCGCCTGCGGGTTAAGGGCCTTGTAAAAAGAAGCTCCCAATCGGAAGAGGAGTTTCTGTTTTCGCTTTTTAAACTCACCCCTCGGTTACAGAATTCCTGCCTAGCTAGGCGCAGGCAGGACCGTTTCCAGGACTGTGTTCTCAGTCACCCGCGGGGGGTGCAGCGTCCCCTGGCTTTCCAGCTCGGCTCCCTATCCGGGGACAGCGGAGGAAGGGACAGCGAGGTGGAGTTGGACGGCAACGGGGGACGTCCTTGGGACGGGACACTGGAGCCCTGTTTGAAGGCAAAGCGAGATAAGCGCACCTCCCGGTCGCTAGTGGCCCCGGACTCAGTCCTGGCTGCTCCCCACGCTGCCGCAGTCTCCTTCTTCGGGCCCTGGTTGTGACTCGAGCGCCAAGCATCATCACCCGAGCGGAGAGATAGCAATCTTCGGCCGGAGCTGTCACCCTTCCCTTGCTCGTTTGCGATTGGGTCCTGCGACCCGCAACCCCGCAAGGATTGGTCTAGAGTAGTGTCACTCTCTTGCGCCCGCCTCCGGAGGCCCGGCCAACTCTTCCCCCAACAACTGCGGGGCAGGTTGGGTGGCCACGCAGGTTCGCGCCGGTTCTGCCAAGTGTTTCTGGGTAAGACCTGGGTTTCACTGAAGCGCCGCTGAGCCGTATGCGGATCGCCTCGGCAGTTGGATCGAGAGTTCGAGAACAGCCGGGACAATACACATAAATATATATAGTATATAAAATATATAATATATTAAAATAAAGCAACAAAACATGGTTGCAAACGTCACACGCTAGGGTTGCTAGGGCAGCAATAGCATACGGGTGGACCCAGCGAGTGTCTGCCAAAGCAGTGCAAGAGAGTGACAAGACAAGACATAGGAAGGACACAGGAAAGAGTTCCTAGTGGGGAGGTTTTGGCCTTGGGAAATTTTAAACAAATATTTATTGCATTTTTATGTAAATATTTATTTTGTTTTATGTGTATGTGCACCCTGTGTACTAGATCCCCCGGAACTGTGAGCTGCCGTGTGGGTGCTGGGGGCTGAACCCAGGTCCTGTGGAAGAGCAGCCGGTGCTCTTAATTAGTGAGCCATCTCTGCAGTCACCCCTCCCCCACTGGAGGGGATTTAAAAATCTCTCCGAATGCCCATTCTTCCTCCATCAAGAGGTTATATAGTAAGTCTCACAAAACACACACAGCAACCCAGGAGACAGTGGGAAAGTAGCCAATGGCCTTCAATACACACAAGCTGGAACACTCCTGGAGCCGATAGGGTATTATTTCCTGAGGAAGAGAAGCAAAGACAACCAGAAGTTCCGTGGTTTGGGGACCTGTGGGGGTAGGGGGGAGGATGACCTTTGGTTGTGTCAGGAAGTGGGGACAACCCTGTGATTGAGGGAGGTGATCTTATCTAGAAGTCTAGGTCAGGCGTGAGCCAAAGCCATAACCGATGAAGGATTAGCAGTCAGGAACATGGGTTATTTTATAGTCTAGGCAGGACACGCGTCCAGGGCGTTGAACCTGGGTCCTCTGTAACACCAGAACAATGCTCCTAACTGCTGAGCCGTCTCGTCTCTCCAGCTCCAGACGTGATGGATTAAGTGGTAGATCTGGGACACCTTCAGGGTGGGAAGGGCCACTGAAAAGAGCTGACTCAGTAGCAAAGTTTGTGCTGGGCCGGAGAGGTGGCAATCTGCCGGCCCCAGGAAAACACGTCAAGGAAGTGACTAGTGACTTTTGTCAGTTTCACAGCACCGTTAGGTCTTCACATGCCTAAACTAGCTTCTATTTGCTGCTAGACTACTTTCTACATAGTTTGGTTGATTTATAACCTCTGGTTAACCGTCTTAACTCCAAGGAATGGCATGTGCAATTCAGAAGCTTGTCTTTTCAGGTAGAAATCAAAGAGGCCAAGACCTACTACCCTAGGACAGCAACCATCTCTCAAGCAGCATGTCCTCCTTGATCGACATCACGCCCACCGTTTTCACTCAAGGACTTGGAGCCATCATCTGAAAGCTGCTGTCGCCAAGGGGCGGAGGGGAGGGGACCTGATGGAGCTGGTACCAGTTCTAAAAGGTTTCCCCAGAGCGGATAGAAGCCGCAACTCACATGCCATTGGGCTAGAACAGGTCACAGGTCTTGTTCAAATTGCGGCGCTATGGAACACGAACCAAGAAGATTCATTAACCATGGAGTTTATTAAAGGGGAGGGAGAGAGCAAGGGGGCAGAGAGGGGGGGGGAGAGCCAGGGGGCAGAGAGAGAGAGAGAGAAACAGCGAAAGCAAGCAGAAGTGGGCGGGGTCTGTCTTTTAAAGGGGTCCTTTGCACCAGGGCAGTGGTGGCACATGCCTTTAATCCCAGCACTAGGGAGGCGGATCTCTGTGAGTTCGAGGCCAGGCTGGACCGACAGCCTCCAAAACAATACAGAGAAACCCTGTCTCGTTAAAAAAAGAAAAAAGAAAAAAAAGAGAAAAAGACACACATCTTAAGGTGACAAACTACCATCCACTCTCTGTGACGTTCTGCTATGCCCCATTTTTCTCCATGAAGAAGAAAGCTAGGCCTTCAGGTGGCCCTGGAGAGTACAGTGACCATGGTTACAGAGGCACTCCCCTTTTCTTCCAAATTCTATTCAGTACTTGAGTTCACATTTTTAAGGAGCCTTCATGGACTGTTGATTGTTCTCTGCTGCTGTCCTGGGCACACTGGTGAACCCGAAGTCAGAATGCCACAGTTAAACAGCACAGGACTTTTCCTTTATTTGGTAAGAGAAGATGAGAGCAGTTGAAAGGGGAAGCTGCAAGGTCACCAGAGAGTCTTCAGCCCCACGCTGTGGCTATTCCACTCAGTCTGGGGCTTCCTTCCTCCGGAGTCAGAAGGGGAAAATAAGGGCTGGGTATCCAAGAAGCAATACTGCCTGCTTATCAGGTCCCTGGTAGTGTTTTCTAAAATGTGAATCAAGCTACGTGTGGTCAGCCAGGAGGATCACTAGTTCAAGGCCAGCCTGCGCTTCAGCTTTGTCTCAAAACAATTTAAAAACAAACAAATAAATGCATGCATGAACACGTAAAGTGGATCAACAGGTGTAATCGTCTGGGCAGGAACTTAAGGGTAATTTTGAAATTCTACCTTTTTAATTCACTGACTGTAGGAATTTTAATGTAAGTGAGTGTATTAATAATCGTCAACAAGTAGTGTCATTTGATGTCAGTGTACATATTTGTATTTCTCCTTCCCATCATATTGAGTCTTTCCATGACTATTTTAATATGTCAGACTCATGAGAAGAGACATGGACTAAAGGGTTGACAAGGTGGCTCAGTGGATGAAGGATCTTGCCGTCAAGCCTAATGATCTGAGTTCAAACCCTGGAACCTAAATGGTGGAAGGAGAGAATTGACTCCTATAACTTGTCCTCTAAACTACATGCAGGTGCTGTGGCATGCCTGCACCCCAACCTACCAACCCAAAAGAAAGAAATTACATGCAAATGAATGATTTAATAGCAACAAAAAGTGTCCTGAATATACAAATGCTATGTCTATGTTAAGAATTGAAGGGACGGTGTCATGCCATGATGTTCGGGAGAAGTTCTCAATGTAGGGGGTGTGGAGTCCTCCTCTGATGCATGAATGGCCACACTAAGGTCAGAAGAGCCCGTGCTGTGTGAGCATTGGTCCTCAGCCTGCGGGTCACCTAAGACCATCCTGCGTGTCAGATATTCACATTATGATTCATAAGAGTAATAAAGTTACAGTTACAAAGTAGCAATAAAAATAGTGTTATGGTTGAGAGTCACCACAACGTGAGGAGCTGTGTTGCGGCGCTGGGAAGGTTGAGAAGCACTGTTGTAAAGGGGAACAGCAAACAAGCCGTGGAGACTCCTAGCTTTTGTTCTCAAAAAGAATGTGGCTTTTCATTTCTGACTAAATTGACTAAGGTGTGATGAGGACGCCTCAGTTACACCGAGCCTTACATAGACACAGAGCTGATGAGAGTGTGATGGGCTTCTCTCCTGCGCGCAGACTGGAGACAGGACATGTAAGAAGATCATATGACTCCGTCAATGATTTGCCTAAGGAGACATGAGTTATCTAGTTTAGTTAAGAAATTTGTAACTTCTCTGCTTTGACCTCTATTGCCTAGGAACTGATAAACAGATTCTGTTTAGACTCCAGGACCAGACCCCACCTTCTTGCTGCTCTGGGGGTGCCCTTTCCACTTTCTTCTGAGAGCTTGCTTCTTACACTAAGCGGTTTCACCCCACTCCCACAGTGTTGCCTGTGACTCGGATATCTGGAACATGCTGACCACACCCCACTCCTCAAAACTGCCCTCTTCTCCTTTTTAATCACCACGTGCAGGGTGAAAAGTTTGTATTTTGTACATAGTTTCATCTGTGCCTGTTTTCTGTGTGTGGATGCCTTGGCTTTGGGGCATTTATGTGCAATGGCTCTTCTTTGGCTTGACTAAGGTGGACAGTTTCTCTCTGTCCACTGGAATGTGACATTTGATGGCTGATGGAGAAGAGGCAGCCAGCTACATAAAGGACCAGGGCACTCCCTGGGCAATCAGAAATCATGACTTCCCACCAATAAGGATATTAGTTATTGCTTCTACAGGACTTGCATGGCCCTACAGAAGCTTCCTGTCAGAAGTTCAGTCACCACCCTGAAGTGGAAATGCAGGCATTGGTGGCGCAGGTGGTAGGCTGGGCCAGCCTAGTATGGGGGAGGGGGACTGCAGAGGAGTGTCCGGGAGGAGCACACACACACACACACACACACACACACACACACACACACACACGTCAGGAGCACCTTGTGGCCCCAACTGAAAGAGAAACGAGACTAGATTAGCATCTAGGAACCAGAGGTGTCCTACTTTGAGAGTGTTGATTCTTGAGAACCGCATGCCTAAGAGATGGATGTCCTGTTCTCTGTTCCCACTTCCCCAGAGCTGAGGGAGGCTAGAAGCTGAGATCAGCAGCCTGACTTCTCAGTAAGCAGGACTGTGTCTTTGGACCTAGTAAGTCCCACCCTCCTGGGCGGGGGTAGAGAAGTGGGGGGGTGTTTCTACCTCTCAAGGATGGGAGCCCTCAGAGAATGACTGAGACAGGAGAGAAGTTCTGATTGGTTTATGTGTACAGTGAATTCCCTGTGATCTACTGCCACCACAGCAGGGTAAACAGACAGGAGGCCCCCAGAAGAGGCTCTGCCTCATGGTGGGTTTTCCACAGTGTTTGGGTCTGAATCTAAGTCTTTCTCATCAGTTACATGTAGCACTGTTTGGGG